GTCCCATCCCATACCACTTTTTTCCAGGCTGCTTTCATCAACCTCCTCCCCCCCTCTCTGCCAGCCTCCCCACCCAATCCTTCATCCATGAGAGTGTGTGCGATGGTTGCATCCAAGTTTACCCATGAGTTATCTCGACGGGAGTCAGCTGGCGGCGCAAGACACGCCCCAACGTTTGTCATCGCGATCCCATCATTTTCTTTCTCATACGGCACCCTCGATATGGGGGGAGTACTCTCTTCCTTGTGTGTGTTTCTCTCTCTTCCTTGAGGATGTACATTCACCCTCAACGCAGCTGCAAGGGAATCCTGCTGTTCACTCTCCCTGTTCTCCCTTTCAGCTTCCGCCGTGGCCTCCCTCCCCCCTTCCTTCTGCTCACCCACAGGCAAATACACAACGCGCTCCTCCACCCCAGAGGTTCCATCACGATCCTCCCGTCACCAGCTCTGTTCTTTAATGTCCTCTTGTCATCCCCATTCCCGACCTCCCCACCCAGTCTCTCATCCATGGGGGCATGTGTGACGGTTGTCTCGGAATTCGTCTGCACGGTGCCTTGATGGAGATCAGCTGCCGACGTGAAGCATGCCCCATCGCCCGTACTCATAGCCTCATCATCCTTCTTACTATACGGTGCTTTCGTTGTGGGGGGAGCGTCCTCTCCCTTTTGCTCACATTCCTCTGTTCCTTGAGGCTGTGCGAGCATCTCCCGTGCCGAGGAGAGGGAGCTTTTTGGCTCACTGTTCTTATGCCTTTTCGTATATTTATAGGGGGGGTTGTTCCTAGGCGGATACCTCTGGGAGCGTGTAGACGTTCTGAGATTATAAGCCGCCATCATTTTGCTTTCTTGTGGTTCCCCTGCGTTCTTGGAGCGGGGATATCTCATGGGGGTGGCAACATGAGTGAAGTCAATTACAGAGTCATGAAAGGGGATGGTGCCAGACCCTCTCTTTTCACAGTCACTTTGTTCCCCAGCCTTAACGAGAAGTGGTATTTTGGTAGGACTCTCCATCGGGCACCAGGGATCACTTAAACCATCCCCAACCGGTCTTCTGACATTAGTACGCTCTTCCATCCGTTGGGGATGAGGGTGTATCTCCGTGCTCAGCAGGTTATTTAACTGTTGGCTACTCCCTATTCGGGCACATTCGGGGCTTGCACCTTTCATTGCCTTCCTCTCTGGGACGTGCGCAATGGTGTTGGGTCGTTTCCTTTTTAGGGACCGACCTCCCATAGTCCATGCTCTTAAGGCTATATGCGCAGGGCACAGGTCCACGTGACGGTTAATGGACCCCTCGTTGGAGAGCCAGGCTTCCTTTAAGAGTCGGCCCCCTTTCGTGTTGTCCGTAGCAATCACCTGTGCATTTCTGAAATCAAATCCATGCCCTGACTCTACCATGTGTGCCGCTATTTGGGAGTATTGTTCACCTCTCTTAACAGCCAATTGGTGCTCGTGAACCCTGGTTTTAACCCTTTTGGATGTCTCCCCTATATAGTTGGCAGGGCAATCCTTACAATTAATTTTGTAGATAACCCCCGACTTTTCTGCGGTGGGGAGAGGATCTTTCGGTCTCATCACTTTGGATCTCAGCGTTTGGTTGGGGTTGTGTGCCACTCTCACCTTATAGGGTGCCAACAGGCGGGCTGTGGCCTCCGACACATTATTAATATAAGGGAGGGTGACACGGGTCATCTGGGTTGCTGGTTCCTTGGTACGGGGTCTAATAGGAGGTCTACGTGGTGCACTATGGCGCCTGATGAACCCCATGGGGTATCCATTACGCCTGCATACCTTTACAAGATGTTTCCTCTCCTCTATTTGGGCCCTAGCCATGCTGCAGTGCGAGTCAGCCCTCTCAAAGAGTGTCCTGACACAGCTAGCCTTGTGGAGCACCGGATGATTGCTATCATAATGTAGGATCCTGTCGGTGTGAGTTGCTCCCCACTTCTCATTTCTAGCCCCTCAAACATCTCTACCAATTTCTCCACTGACTGTGAGCTGCGGACAGATATTTCCACTCACCCGAGTCCTCAGTGGCAGACAATCTGGTAGCTATCCCCCGGTCTGGGGAATGCGATATGCAGGAATCCTTTCGTGGTAACCCAGTCTCATCCACCTTTGAAGCCCTTAAGGGTGGTAAGGCCATCTTGAAGCGTCTGGAGTCTCCGCTGGGCTGGACCCAATCTGATGACCAGATTAGCTCTCCTAGCTGCTTGGGTTTTGCCCCCAGCTGGGAGGCCTGCAAAAGCTCCTTCTCTACTGGCGCACTGGCTGTCGCTCCCCCTCCTGGGATAGCAGCTGCTGCCAGGGTGCTGGCTTCAGGCAATTTCTCTCTCTCCATGATGAAATATTCCCTGAATCTTCATCAGCTTATCCCTCAATTCTAGGGACAGCGACTGGGGAGCGGAACCCCTAGATAATTAGGAAAGTTGGAGATTTTGGCTTAATGTCATGGTTCCAACAGATGAAACTGTTCAAAGAATTTTAAGGCATTGTTTACCTTAAAGCAGTGGTTCTCAACCTTCCTAATGCTGCGACCCACACGCACCCACACATGACCCACACGCACGCAAGGACGCGGAAAAGGAAATAACTCCAACCAAGGAAACGGGAAGAAAGTCCTGATGTTTCTACGAAGCAGCAGTAGCAGCAGCAAATCAGGGCTTCCTAGTTCCTGGCTCCGAGCAGCCCCGGCGTGAAGAGGCCTTTCCTCTTAGGCAGCGCTTGGAAAAATGCACTTTCTTTCTGTCTTCCCCCTCCCTCCTTTCGTGGCCCCAGCGGGAAGAGGGAAGGGGAAAGCCACCCTCTTCCCTCCCCTCCCGAGAGCCCGGTTTGCCAGCGACTAGAACCTGAGAGGGAACCCGTGACAAGTGCTCCCGCGGCAGCCAAACCCTTTCGCCCTCATGCACCCTCACACACTCGTAACCCTGCCCTGTTTCCTCCACCCCACTGGGGAGTTCAGCTGCCCGTCTGCCCGGCTCTTTCTCCGCCCTCCGGGTGAAGGGAGCCTGGCCGCGAAGGCTTTGTGCAGGG